CCCCAAAACCCCAAAACCCCAAAACCCCAAAACCCCTTTTATTATTCAATATGTTGAATGGCTTTTGTTTTTATTTATCGACTGATCACACAGCCTTTATTTTATAATGAAAGTATCTTTGACTTAAAACCAAAGTGTGCAAAACTTATTCAAAACTTCAATAATTATATTAGCAGAGAATAAATAAACTGTTGAGATAATGGCCCTGGGCCACGCATCCCTCCTAATTTTTATTATTTTTCTTTCTGAGTGAAGGAAATTTTTAGAATTTGGTAATGGACGATTTTCCTCAGTTTTCTCTTCTTCTTTTTCATTTCTTTTCTTTTGAGGCTTGCTAGCAGAGGAGGAAAACAAATATTCATATTCCTTAGGACTTTAGATTGGAATATCACTAATATTCAGAGTCTCAAGGAATTTTTGATAGAACTTTGGATGCTTATTTTTCATATGCTGGTTGAGACTTCCTTCTGAGCCATAGGATTTATTACAACCTCTATATCTTCATCTATATTTCCTCTCAATTTTACAGCTGTTCTTCTTTTTCTTCTTTCTTTATGACTTCAATTATCTGAAATATTATTGATACTCTCGATAAGCTTTTCTTGGCTATCTTTATTTTTGAATGCCTCAATCTGAGATTTTCATGACTCTAAAAGGAAAATTTACCCAACACAGCTGAGTGTAAGTACTCCACCTTCATTTAAAATTATTTGAAATTTAAAAATAAACTCCAAAAGACCTAAGGTCTGTAAGGGATGCTTAGTATTGTACTTTGCTAATTTCTTTCTCAAATAGACAAAATCCCGATTATAAAATCGCCTAATCAATGCTCTGAAGGGTTCTAATTCGTCTGAGCTATGTACCTCCCAATGTGACTAATGGCATTACCTATTTCTCTATTTCAAAATGTCTCTTGCAATGGTCAGCCTTCAGAATTCTTTGTAGAAGTGGTAATTTATCTGTTCTTTGTTTAGCTCTTCTTGGCCTCCCTTTTCAGCTTTTATGTTGGTCTTTTCCATATGCTGAGGGGTTGAATGGAGAGGTATGGAGGTTTTGGAGTTATTCTGGCTTATTGAATTATGGGTTACCACCTTAGTAGGATGCAGAGAGAATGATAAGTTTGACATATCTGGAGTTTTGTAAAATTAATAATGGGTATGTTCAATAAAAGTAGATAGACAGGGGTTTTGGGGTTTTGGGGTTTTGGGGTTTTGGGG